ATTTCTCGAAGTCATAGTTTGTGAGGATTTCAATTTTGAAAGAAAGAACTTGCACAATAGACTTTATTTAAGCGGAGGTGATTTCAAACACACAGACAAGTTTATAATAACCATAATTAAGTAGTTTGTTCATAATGGAATAAATCCGTTTAAAATTTATGACGGTTCAGACAGTGTAGTGTAAATTCATCTTTATTTATTTCATCGCAAGAATATATTGGATACCGGAAGTTATTCCGCACGAATTAGTAGAAGGGATGAATTACAAAATAATATTTTAAAAATGTTGGAGACATGCACCCACCACAGCAAGGTAGATCACTATGAGCCCCATTTGGCTAGTGTGGAAGCCAAACGTGAACCTATTAGACGTATGAATGTGGAAAAGGCCAGGTTAAGAGGTCATCAACATGTAATATGAACTTTTGATCCTTAATGACCCAAATATTTTATGTATCCCAAAACGAAAGTAAAACGAAATCGGACTTATCGCCCTACTGTTCTGTCCCGACTGGGCTAATAATAGCGATCGGCTCCACTGCTAGAGGGCTCAGACAGTGTTGTGCTCAGCTATGGACGATTTTCAACCCCACTCTTAGAGAGTATGCACGCGTGTCCCAAAAAAATGGTTAGGCCCAATGGCGGTTGACATGCGGTACATAAGTGGACTTTAAATAAATTGTTGAAGGTTTCTTTTTTTATTGAAATTGTCTGACACGCGCAGATGCACTCAAACTTTTACTTACAATTATGAAAATAAACACTCAATTAGTGATCTAAAATATTGTTGAGGTCGGAAACCCATGTGGAAAGTGGCAATTCCTGGAAATCGGCACCGTGTCGGATTCGAAAGGGACGCAACTCCACCACAATACAGACAAAGACCACAGTTAATACCTCAACTGACTTTGACAAAAGAAAATGTTGCTTGTCGTTCAGTGTGTATTATTAGATTTATAAGTGTAATTTAAAATTCAGATGTAATTTTTGAAAATTGAATTAATACAGTCCATTTTAATTGATAGCATTTAGAGTTCCATAATGCTTGGGAAGAAAATATGTTTGTACCTGTTGCATAAAGGTATTATTTTAATTTATCAGGATTGTGTATGTTTGAGATTAAAATATATACATTAATAAATCCTAAATACACGAACATACAGTTTGGTATGAATAATAATATTGCTGTGCTGGCTATATAAACTTTTACTTGATATAATTAAATCTTTTGTATTTTCAGTAGTATGGTAGACTTGTGTTCTGGTACCTAGGTGAGTGCCAACTTGGGAAGAATGGTAGACTTGTGTTCTGGTACCTAGGTGACTGCCAACTTGGGAAGAAAATTATATTTCATGTTGATTTATTTAATACAGTTAGCTACATAAATAATTGATAAATAATTTGATTTTTTTTATAATTTTTCTGTTTTTTTTTTGGGGGGGGGGGGGAGAGTATTATAAATATTATGATACTGGAATATAGATAAACGATTTTATTTTATGTATTTATTTATTTATGTCTTTTTATTTTATTTTATTTTTTTAAATTTGTGGCGTGGGGGAGGGGGGTGGTTATTTTCATTTTAGTTTTATTCTTAGTTCATTCTTAATTTGTTTTGAATACTCTACGACGATTTTTTTTTTTTTTAAAGTGTTGATTAAAATGTATCATTATTGATTATGAATTTGTATAGTTCAAGTTATTATTTAATTTTCTGTACCGGTATTTTAAACCATGTGTTTATATGGGGGGGGGGCAAGGGCTTCTGGGGGCGCCGATGTACTCGTAGTGGGCGCCCAACCAAAGTCACTCGGCTTTATAGAGCGCCCATACTGATATGGACACGTTAGTCGTTGGTTTCGTATTGCGTCCAATGGAAAGGGCGCCTTTGGCGCCCATTGGGGGAGCAGAGATTATTGTCATTATAAGGCGCCCCACCAAACATGTCATAATGGAAAGCCCTCTGGGATAAGGTGCACCACAGATCACGCCGTTTTAAACGCCCCATCAAGTTGAGTTCATCGCGTGAGGCTCCTCACCATTTGATTGCTGAGGCTCACATAAAACCAATTGACTTTGGTAGGGCGCCATGCCAATCTCGTCGTGTGTGCCCAACAAATATCACTTGGCTTTATGGGGCGCCTATACTGATTTGGGCATGTAAGTCGCTGGCCTCCTATTGTGTTCAATGGAAAGGGCGCAGATTTTTTCCAAGTGGGGCGCAGATTGTTTCCGGGGTGGGCAGCTGCCCCCCTCTTGCCCCCCCCCCCCCCGCTAGGTACGGGCCTGGAAATATATTTTCGCATTGCAAATATGGGCTGAAAATTGAAGCAAAATGACTGATTTCGTGAAAAGGGGTGGGGTGGGGTTGGTTGTCTGCCAGTTGGCGTTACTAAACGGACAGTAACTCCGTCAATTCTGCTCGGATTGTGAAAAACTTGGTGTTGTTACAACGCTGAGATGTGCGGCGTTCGGCAAACAACAAGGTTATCGACAATTAATTAATATTTAAAAATAACTGCCGGTAGCTACTAATAAAGACAAATGAAATGAAATGAAATGGAGTTTAACGTCCTACTTTTCTGCTCCTAACCTGGGCTAATGAAGACGGGCATACGCCATACAGTGTGCTATGAGGGAAATTTTGCCCGGACAGCGGCACTATGAAATGAAATGAAATGGAGTTTAACGTCCTACTTTTCTGCTCCTAACCTGGACTAATGAAGACGGGCATACGCCATACAGTGTGCTATGAGGGAAATTTTGCCCGGACAGCAGCAATACGGCCTACTCTTATATCGAATTCCAACTGCCAAGGGATCTTTTACGTGCACGCCAATGTGTACACGGGACCTCGGTTTTTCGTCCCATCCGACAGCTTTCCTTGTCAGTCCCTCCGTCCTGCATCACTGACAAGGGAGAACCACGCCGGAAAATCTGGATGAACTTTCTCGGCCAAAGCAGGGATCGAACACCCGACCTCCAGGCTAGCGAGCTAGCGTCTTACCCACTTAGCCACGTGATCCCCACTAATAAAGACGGGCATACGTAATACAGTGTGCTATAAGGGAAGCTCTGCCCGGACTGCGTCGATACGATCTACTCTTAATTCGAATTACAACTACCAAGGGATCTTTTACGTGCACACAGAGGCGTACGGGCGCGATGACTGTTATTGAGCAGAACCTGAAATGTATAGTGGCTGATTGGTATCATGTCGTGATGTCGCCCTTCCTGTTCGGGTGGAACATTAAAGATACATTATGGGAGATAAGATAAAGAGATGGCAGTTCTCGCTATAATAGTTAAAAACTAGATAGTGTAAAGGTAATTTGCTGAAAATTTCAGTCAAATTGATCCACTATGAGCCGAGAAAGAAGCGGGTGAAATTTTTGCATAGTCTCGGTCATCATTACTAAAATCATTAATATAAACAGCATAGTCTCGATTATCCACTTTTTTCTGATATAATTATCTTTGGCCGTTAGCGGCATATAGGAATCTAATCCAGCCTACATCGAAGTCTAGCCTTGACATCGAGAGTTTATTATGGTCTGGATAAGTTAATTAATGTCTAATTGATAATTTAGATAACATTTCAGGCCTAAAGAAAGACTTGTAATAAGCAGATTTTGCTCTTGCATAATGCATGTTTAATCAAAGGTACCGTGTACACATTGGTGTCTGGGAGAAGTGAGAGGGCTTTCAAGGAACGTTGTCTTAAAGCTCTGTACACACTGCCAACATTTTCGGTAACGTGTTGATCAGGTGCCATGTTGGTGAAAAAGTGGATAGTGTGTACAGTTCGGAAACATTCGAAACATGTTGTCCAAATGTTACCGAAATAAATACAATGATGTTGCCGAGTGTTGTCTAATCAGAAATTGGCCACAAATCACATGATCTACCTGGCAGCTACCAGCAAGAAACGGTTGTTAAGTTGCCCAACAATGTTGTCGAACTGTTTCCTGTGTATACAGTGTCAATATTTGTTGCCCGGGTGTGTTGCCGAGATGTTTCCGAAAATGTTGGCAGTGTGTACAAAGCTTAACACTTTACATTTTATCCAGGCTTGTGGGTTTGAGAGAAGGCTAGGTTTACAATAAACAGTTTCTAGTCGTTCGGGTAATTGTCTCCATGCTTGTAGGTTTGAGAGAAGGCTAGGTTTACAATAACCAGTTTTTAGTCGTTCGGGTAATTGTCTCCATGCCTGTAGGTCTGAGAGAAGGCTAGGCTTACAGTAAACAGTTTCTAGTCGTTCGGGTAATTGTCTCCAGACTTGTAGGTTTGAGAGAAGGCTAGGTTTACAATAAACAGTTTCTAGTGGTTCGGGTAATTGTCTCCAGGCTTGTAGGTTTGAGAGAAGGCTAGGCTATAACCAGTTTCTAGTCGTTCGGGTAATTTTCTCCAGGCTTGTAGGTTTGAGAGAAGGCTAGGCTATAAACAGTTTCTAGTCGTTCGGGTAATTGTCTCCAGGCTTGTAGGTCTGAGAGAAGGCTAGGCTTACAGTAAACAGTTTCTAGTCGTTCGGGTAATTGTCTCCAGGCTTGTAGGTCTGAGAGAAGGCTAGGCTTACAGTAAACAGTTTCTAGTCGTTCGGGTAATTTTCTCCAGGCTTGTAGGTCTGAGAGAAGGCTGGGCTTGCAATAACCAGTTTCTAGTCGTTCGGACAATAACTCGGTTGGTGTAGAAAAACAGGACGTTAAACCCCGTTTCAGTTCTAGAAGTTTAATCCCAATGTTGTACCTGTCAAGGAGTTGTGGTGTCACCTGCATAACCACGTGGGTTTTCTCTGCCCCCCTCCCCTCCCTACTGATTAAGAGTCCTGTTCAAGCGAATTAGTAGAATAAAGATATAGCCTACCATATGTTAGTCCCATAATGACCTACATGTGTTGAGTAGACGTTAAACCCTCTTCCCCGTGTCTCTTTATTCTATTGTAATTAACAACATGTCCTACATTCAGTCACATGTCTATTGATCAAGGTTACCAATAAAATAAATATAGTTTGTTTTATTTACCTTCAGTTTATTCATATATGATAAATATTTATACAGATATAATCCAATAATAACTGTGATATAAATTTATATATACAGGTCAATGTCTATAATACAGGTCAATGTTTATAATACAGGTCAATGTCTATAATACAGGTCAATGTCTATAATACAAGTTAATGTCTATATATGGTTTACAATATTAAAATATAACTGTGGTTGAAATGTCATGGTGTTCGAGACTAGTTTTTAATTTACCGTAAACAAGATTTACCTATGAAAGTATGATATTATTGGTATGTACATGTACATAGAATTATTACTAAATAAAATGGTGTTTAACGTCCTACTTTTCTGCCCCGACTGGGCTAATAATGAAGACGGGTGTATGTCATAGAGTAGCCTACTCTTTTGTCGAATTGCAGCTCTCCAGGGATCTTTTACGTCCACACCCCATTCAAATGGCTGTACCTTGCTACCCAATAGATGTAGTTTCAAACATAATTTTATAATTTACGGTTTTCTATAAGCTATTCATTAATCAGTAAAACCATTTTTAATAAGATATTGTACACATGATTTTCTAGCATGTTGACGAGCAAATTGTAATACACTCAAATTATTTATATCTCTAACCATTTTATTAACATTCATAGACATCAATAATTCTATTTTCTTTATACAATTTCTTCGTTTTGTCAAAACACAATCAAATAGAGGTGTTCGATTATTATCATCCCTACTTTCTATATCGATTTTTTTTGTGTTTATAAAAAACTTTACACAATCTAGTCCACCATATTGACAGGCATAGTGAAGTATATTATCTAGTTTAGCACCTGCATCTACTAACTTCTTGACCTTTTCTAATGACTGGATTTTTGAACTAATAGCTAACATTAAAGGACTTTCATTTTCACCATTCCTGCCTTCAATATCTAAACCTTTATGAATAAAGTATTTAACACAATCTAGACTGCCATATTGACAGGCATAGTGAAGTATACTGGAGGAATGATCTAGTTGACCACCCTTGTCTAATAATAATTCGACCTTTTGACCTGAATGTTTTGATGAACGCAGGGCCGATATTATTGGAGTTTCATTTGCTTTGTTTTTTATCTCTATATCTATACTTTTACTTAACAAAAATTCAACATCTTCTACTTCATGCCATCTGCATACAATATGCAGTAGACTATCACCTGAATATCTTTTTACATCAAGATTAGCACCACAATTTGCCAATACTCTCATCTTCTCACTAGGTTGTTTATATGAAGATATAGCTACAAGTATTGGGGTTTTATCATCACCATTCTTACTCTCTATATCTACCCTACCTGTATTTAACAACAATTTAACAGTTTCTACACACCCAACCCTACACGCCTCATGCAATAAACTAACATCAAGTTTAGCACCATATGATATCAATAATTCTAGTTTTTCTACAGGTTGTTTATATGAATCTTTAGCTACAAGTATTGGGGTACTACCACCATTGTTCTTACTCTCTATATCTATCCTACCTGTATTTAACAACAATTTAACAGTTTCTACACATCCATACCTACACGCTACATGTAATATACTATCACGATAATTATCTTTAACACCAAGTTTAGCACCATATGATATCAATAATTCTAGTTTCTCAACAGGTTGTTTATTGGAACCTATAGCTACAAGTATTGGGGTTTCACCATAAACATCCCTACACTCTATATCTACTACCCTACCTGTATTTAACAACCATTTAACAGTTTCTACACATTCATACTTACACGCTTTATGTAATAAACTATCACCATCCCAATATTTAACATCAAGTTTAGCACCATATGATATCAACAACTCTAGTTTCTCAACAGGTTGTTTATCGGAACGTATAGCTGTAAATATTGGGGTTTCATTATCATTATTTATACTCTCTACATCTACCCTACTTGTATTTAACAACCATTTAACAGTTTCTACACATCCATACTCACACGCTACATGTAATAAACTATTACTATCCTCATCTTTAACATCAAGTTTAGCACCATATGATATCAATAATTCTAGTTTTTCTACAGGTTGTCTACGTGAACGTATAGCTACAAGTATTGGAGTATTATCACACCAACCCTTACTCTCTATATCTATCCTACCTGTATTTAACAACAATTTAACAGTTTCTACACATCCATACTTACACGCCTCATGCAATAAACTAACATCAAGTTTAGCACCATATGATATCAATAATTCTAGTTTCTCAACAGGTTGTTTATCGGAACCTATAGCTTTAAATATTGGTGTTTCATCATCATTATTCATACTTTCTATATCTACCCTACCTGTATTTAACAACCATTTAACAGTTTCTACACACCCAACCCTACACGCCTCATGCAATAAACTATTACTACCCCATCCCCTAACATCAAGTTTAGCACCATATGATATCAATAATTCTAGTTTCTCTATAGGTTGGATATCCGATTTAATACAATAAAACATGGTTGGCCTATTGAATATACCTGTATTATTTATATCAATTGTTTTATCTGATAAAATAGATTTTAATTCTTCTAATGTACCATGTTCACAAACAGTATGTAATGTATCTTTATCTACTGGTCTAACAACTTTATCATCATCGTAAACAGGTGATGTTTTAACTGGTGTTGTATCATCTTTACGTTGATTAATATGACTAGAATCTAGACACCGTGATGTTGATGGTTGACCAGACTCTAGATCCTGATGTTGGGAAATGAATTGTAGACAAGACTCTAGATTTGGTGAGTGGTGACCTGGTGTCAATAAAGTTGTAATATCTGAAATATATGAATTACGGTATATTATGTATAAGACTAAAATGTAATAAGTAACATAAATGTTGAATTTGAACCACTGACTACGGAGGTTGGTATGAATGGCATTTATAAACAGGTCGAAACAAATAACAAAACATGTCGAAATTTAACACGGTCATATAATTGGTACGTTTAGATACGACACTTGGTTACCGAACATTACTGGTTGCCACGGATGACGTAACGGTGTCCTCGACGTCATGGAATCTATAATGACGTCATGTATATCAAACTGTTTGTCACATGATCTTATTAGATTTGGACCATAATGTGACCAGATGATCTTTACGGAAAAATAATACCACAATAACCTTCATAGATCAAACAATACTACAATAACCTATCCCAAATTACATAACATATTACCTCGAATCAGGATAATATATATAAATGGTATTATTCCCAATTAAACACACTGGAAATGAAACGAAATAGGGCTTGCCATCCTATACTGTTCTGCTACGGCTGGGATAATGAAGAAAGGAATATGCCCTACTATGCCATACAGTGTTCTACGGGGGTAATTTTGGCCGAACAGCGGCGTTACCGCCTACTCTCATATCGAATTTCAACAGCAAAGTGATATTTTATGTGACGCCTAGCCTATGTGTACACCAGACCTCAGTTTTTTGTCCCATCAGGACGACTATATGTTGTCCCTTGTCAGCGACCCTGTCGAGCACCAGTGACAAGAGAAAACCACACCTAAATCGAACATGTAACCTCCAGGTTAGCGAGCCAACGTCTTACTCATTGATTCACCGCGGCTCCCTACACTAGAAAACGCCCACTAACCTAGTTACACATTTTATGTAAAAGACAGGGGGTCATCTAAAATCGTTTGATCTTTAATATACAGTGAAATTGGACAATAATTGGACCACCTTTGTATATAATATCATTATGCTTTTCTACTATTTGTGTAAAAGAAGGGTGGGTGGGGTGGGGCATTTAACAGGAAGTTGCCATAACTCATCTACGATTGTTGTGTAATCAACATATATTTGAACGTCAATTCAAATCGAATAATAATTATGATTTCTAGAGGTTCCATAAACTATAATCACGGACAATAATCCACAAGGTTACGGTTAGATACGTGCCAAAATCGCAACCATCTGCAATGTTGAAGATATAATCTCAGTTTCATAAAAGAAATAAGGAAACAATTTGATCTCTAGACTAGACAGCTGTCCTTGTCAGACCATCCATCCTGCACCACCGACAAGGGGGAAACCACGCCGGAAAATCCCGACGACCTCTCTCTCAGTCAATGCAGGGATGGAACACGCGATCTCCAGGATAGCCAGCCAGCTTCCTACCCACCTAAATGAGAACAGACGTCTGAACGGACGTGGACAACGGCATAAAACGTCCACTCTAATATTTAAGAGGAACAAGTCTATAAAATGTATTTTTTTTGTGAGTCTAATATTTATTCAATGTTTCTATTTTCATTGTTATGAACTCAAAAACGAAGTGGTTTTATCAGATACTGGTAGTTTAGAAGTTAGTGTTATATCATCCCTCATGGACAATTGCCGTTCATCCTACTTTTTTCAATTTCTCTCGTCCCATCCAAAATACCTGGAGTAAATTCCACACGAAATGTGTTATGCCCGACAAGTTAGAACTACATGATTTGAATAGGTTAATGCCTTTGCACCACCCCACCCTCTTGACCGGAAGAGACCTTGGTGACCCCAAACTAAGCACACTATTCATCTGTCCTCAGCCTTATGATTTTTTTAAACAATACCTTATTCATCTCAATGAGATTCTATAACAGCCAATGTAATACACCTCAATATGTTAATCATGGGTATCTATAATGTCCGTTGAACAGTTTTTAGAGATCAATTATTGCAACATTTAATATGGCGTGTGAATATTGTGCTATACCTTGTTGATCAACAGCTGGCTGGGATATACCATGAGTCTGATCTATATCTGGTCTTGTAGTAGAAGACAGAACAGTTGGTTGCATTACGCCACAAGTCTCATTTATCTCTTGTGGTTCTTTTTTGATAAACAAGCCAGTATGTTCAACAACTTTGTCTAAAATGTATAAAATTAAAAAGCATACATATTAAGGTTAACGCATTATGTATCGTCTTTTAAACATATTATATGTTTTTGTTAACCAGACAGGTTGATGTATGTAAAGTTAGAAGACAAACTCGTGTTTACATCAGACAAACTGATTAATTACTATATATTTTTCATGTCAACAAGGCTGTGCCATGGAGATGGAGAACAATTGTCGATGTAATTATAATTAGTGTTTATTATTATCAATGTTTTAATTAATGGTTATTATAGACAAAATGTGAACATATACAGTCCACTACTTAACGGGACGGGAATCATGTGCAAAAATCCATTAGTAAAGTGGCAAAAATAAATGAACTGCCTAGGTAGGATTATATCGTAGTTTATATTAGGTTGACAACCTTTTAAAATGCCGTCTACTAATATATCCGGTGAATTTGGTTTAATTAGCCGTGGATCATTTATCGGTATACTACAGTCGCTATCATCAGTCTCATCTATATTCCAAAGTTCCTGTTCTATCAGCCGTTTATCAACTGGTTTATCATCTGTTGATAGACTACAGTCGCTATCATCAGCCTCATCTATATTCCAAAATTCCTGTTCTATCAGCCGTTTATCAACTGGTTTATCATCTGTTGGTAGACTGCAGTCTATATCATCAGTCTGATGTACATCTAGAGGTTCTTGTTTTACCAGTAGTTTATCATCTGTTGGTAGACTACAGTCTATATCATCAGTCTGGTGTACATCTAGAGGTTCTTGTTTTATCAGCAGTTTCCCATCCCTTGCTTGAATATCAACTGACGAATAATTGGATTCATTTATTTCTACATCTGAAATATGTCGATATTAAAGAATAAATGAAGATAGATATAAACTATGTTTTAATGTTTTAATTAATGGTTATTATAGACAAAATGTGAACATATACAGTCCACTACTTAACGGGACGGGAATCATGTGCAAAAATCCATTAGTAAAGTGGCAAAAATAAATGAACTGCCTAGGTAGGATTATATCGTAGTTTATATTAGGTTGACAACCTTTTAAAATGTCGTCTACTAATCTATCCGGTGAATTTGGTTTAATTAGCTGTGGATCATATATCGGTATACTACAGTCCATATCACCAATCCCATCTATATTCCAAAATTCCTGTTTTATCAACCGTTTATCAACTGGTTTATCATCTGTTGGTAGACTACAATCTATATCATCAGTCTGATGTACATCTAGAGGTTCTTGTTTTACCAGTAGTTTATCATCTGTTGGTAGACTACAGTCGTTATCATCAGTCTGATGTACATCTAGAGGTTCTTGTTTTCCCAGTAGTTTCCCATCTGTTGCTTGAATATCAACTGACGAATAATCGGATTCATTTATTCCTACATCTGAAATATTGCGATATTAAAGAATAAATAGAAAGAGCGGGAGAAATGGGGTTAAATGTCCACTCGACACACACTTGGTCATTTCGGGACTAGCATATGGTTTATTTTTTTTTCAATCATTCGCTTGAGCGTAGGGGTCTTTAGCAGTGGGAGAAAACCGGATGACCCGGAGAAAACCCACGAGGTTGGACAGGTGACCCTACTCCTTGTCACGTACAACCGGGGATTTGACACCACGCCAGGCGACTCAATGACAAGCCCTATAAAACATTGCGCACGTGCTAACCATTTGGCCATTCACCCCCCCCCCCCTACATAATAAATAAAGACAGATATAAACTAAATGGATATGAACACGTAATAATAATGTGAACAATGTCAGATTTACAAATCCTCAAAATACAAAGGGGGTATTATGCCATAACGAGTCAAGCTACTGGATACTGGGATTGGCCAAAACGTATTCTGTTCTGAACATAGCATCTGTTTTACAACAAAAATACTAAAGATACAGTCGGCCAAGAAACACTACTGGTTGTTAATTACCGAATAAAGCTTACCTTGTCCATTATCATCATCTTCAAATTCCTCTTTAATTCTGTCTATTATAACATTTTGTTCATAAATTCGGTCCAGCTCATCGCACAAAATACTGTTTCTCACTTTCGTCATTTGTAGATCTTCATTTCTTGTCTCCCTTTCCTCTTTTAGTCGGTCCAGTAGCTTCGTTTTTGTTCTCATCTCGGACTTGAATCGAACCAAGATATTGGTTTTTGTTTTTAAAGCTATCCTCCATGAGTTCAACGTCGTTTTTATCCGCCGGTTCTCTGTGGAAGATATGTGAAGCGCCTGTTCACTCTCCCGTTTTATTTGTTGAAGTTTTTTCTGTAACTGTAAATATTTTTTCTCTGCCTGTAATTGTTTCACTTCCCTTTTAACTATTCCACCCATATCAACATCTGAAATTATTATAAATAACAAAATAACGTTATGTCATATATCTGAAATAAATCCACTTCAACATATTAATATAAGAATAATAGGTGAATCCTCGAAAGAAAGTATTTAATTCAATATCGCTGACAAACTAAAATAATGGTATCGAATGTAAATTGTTCTATTTTACTTACCCGATGATAATTGTTCGGCTACTGCTCCATATCCTGATATATATAAACAATCAATAAATTTTGGATATGCATGTCTACCACAAGTTTGAAGAATATCTAGAAATTGACGAATCATTTGTTTTGTACCACCGCTAGATTCCGCTCTACTGATTTTTTCCAAGTCATCTTCATTTAGGACATACATTTCAATTAAGCTGTCTAATAATGGGTGTAGAGGATTCAGATTCTCTGTTAAATACACGTAGTTAGATCTTATCCTAAATTCATCTTCAGGTGGCATCTTTCCTTTCTCTCTTCTAGCTATAACTTTTCTCCTCTTAGCATGGGGTGGACTCTCTTGGTATTCAACTGAAACAATAAACACCAAGATATTATACCCGTGTCTATAACAACAAATATTTGTATCATTAACATTCAGGTGTAATGACTACTATTTGAAAATGGACTTCATGCAAAAAAAAATATCACTGATGTTTCAATGCCATATAATATAATGCATTTCCGGAAAGCATCGAACAAAATCTATAATTATGAATTGAAACCATTTTATAAACAAAAACATGGGAGTAACTTCCGGAAATGATGTACTGTACTTCAACGTCATTTCATAACCATCGACCTTAAGAGTAACTGTGAGTCCAGGAATAAGAACTCTATTATAATTTTATACAATCTATTTCCTGTGAAACATAATGAAATCATGACAAAGCCGGGAAAACCTTTGCTACAGAACATCGTCATTTCTAATTTTTACTCTGAAATGTAATACTGTTTTGGGTACATCTTACAACATAAATGTTGAATATAGATATATGATACATACATGTACAGTGTATTTGAAAAGATAGATAATTATTGTTTCAATCAAAAAATAATATAAAGTTGATGGCCATTTACTCAGAAGTTGGTAAATGGATTATTAAACGTCGCAATGCCGAAACTATCGTTATGGATAAAGAAAAGTTTCAAAACATTATTCATTTTCTCATTGACAATGCCATAGTTGAAGTTGGAGATCAGATAATACAGCAAACTATTGGTTTGCCAGTGGGAACTGACCCCGTCCCATTTATGAGAAAAGCACATTTATATAAATATGAATTCTGCTTTCAGGATCATAAACGAAAAACTGATCACAAAGTAGCTAAAAGTCTAAACTATACCTTCCGATAACATAACACCTATCGCACAGAACTAATATTAAATAAAAAAAAATATGGCACTACAAATGCATCTGTTCTTGGCCTGGATATTAATATAATTAAACAATAAATTTAATGTCGGTATAATCAGATTGTATTTATTTTATACATGTAGCGTGGAATGAAAATTAATCGAAATGGGGTTTACTGTCCATTCAACAATTAAATGGGTTTTGTCGGGCCAGACTCAAGTTTTCAGTGGTTAAAAGTGCAATTTGTGAAATTTTGCCTCTGTGTTCATTGTATTGTATCTCATACATGTTGTTATAATTATTATATTACTTTGTATACGGTCCCGTTGGGTTTCTCCTAACACTATTTGATCAACTTTGCTTCAATTTCATCAACAGTAGGCTAGTCTAAATATCATCTGAATTAGATAGTTCTATTATGCATTTGTCTATTATGTAAAATGCAGAATGGAGAAGTGTAATGTGCAAAATAACTATTATACTGTATTTAGTATTATTGAAAAGTGTATTCTGTATTTTAACACTTTGACATTAGTATTGTGGTGGAATGGAAATTGCAAATTGTAAAACTAGAATACGTATTTTGAAGAACTGCGGACATATGCATTTTGCACCGTGAACATTGAAATAATATTGGCAACTTTATCCTTATATTCTTGTACCTGGTCAATACGATGTATTTTTATAACTGGGCAATATAAGATTTATCCTTATAGTCTTCCTGGATTTGTTTATAAAGATTGTCCAGATTTTAATGTTAATGTTTGAAATATATTTACCTGTTCTGGTATTACCATGTAAAGTTTCTGTTTGTGAAACTAAAGCTGATCCAGTATCTGTACTACTACTGGTACTAGGGGTTGGTCGTGTTTCTAGTTGGAAAATTGTTTTCTTACTAGTGGAATGACTTTCTGAAGATTTCCTTTTACCATTATTTGTCTTACCAGACATGTTAGATCGTCCTGCCAATAAAGGTATTAAATGAACGCTTCCACAGAGAGAGAGAGGTAGAGAGAGAGATTATGCACAATAATGGACAAGCAGTTACATAAACTGTTGAAGTCAATATAACTCGTGACAAATGTTACGTAGTAAAATAAAGACCGGGGTGAAACCTTTGCCGAAAGTTGGCCGAAAGTTGGCCGATATATCGCCGCCTGGACGAAATGACCCCCCCCCCCCCTACCATATTACATTGCACAGTGATTATCAATAACAGTACTATTCACAGAGTGAATCTTGCACTGGTGGATTCCAGTGTTGGCGGCGGTGGTGTACATAATATAAACAACATATCTCGGTACGCGGTATGGCATATACCAATTTTCAGTTGCCGAGTTGGTGAAGAAATGAAAGACGTTAAATCACATCTCATTCAATCTTTTGTTCACTCAATAATTACCCCAAATTTTGAAATCTTCTGACTGAGACAAAATAGCACCCAGCCTCTCTCGGTTACATGGTTTTCAGAAAAGGTGGGAAGTCAAATTCTTCATATAGATGTAAGCCATGGACGAGAACTAATTACAATATTACATGAATAATTATACGAATACTACGTTTGAAGATTATGATTGATAAGGAATATTAATGACGACTTGTGTTTTATAATTGAAATGAGTGTAAGAACAATGCGCATGAGTTCAACAAGACGAAATGAGTTTGGTAAAAACAATAGATACGGTTATTGAGTCTTCTCTAGTATAGATGACACCCCACTCAAATTGTTAACAAGCCGTTGTCATGCAAGATGCGCCCAGATGGACAGAAAACAAGCTAAAAGAAAAAATACAATAAGGTGCTATAATCCAGGGTGTTACGGTCCGACATAACAAATTTATGTCCACAAGCTAATGACACGATTTTTCGTACAATCAGGGGCCATAATCCATGAAGTTACGATCCAATACACGCCGATATCGAAGGGAGGCGAGATCTTTGGGAGATAAACCTATATTTCAAGTTTCGTCAAAATCTGATAAAATTTTTTGACCTGTAGAGTGTCCACAAACAAAATGTGGACGGACGGTGCGACGACAATAAAAGTTATAATGTGAACGTATAAAATTATATTACTTTGACGAAAATGAATTACGAGGTAAACTGTATGCTTGACATGTGAATTAATGATTTATATAACATTTGAGGACAAACGGAAGATCCGCATTTTAACTTTAAACCATGATGGCTTCTTTTCTCTACTTTTGATTGATCAATGCCAATATCAAACACCCATGAGGAAATCCCAAAATCGAAACTGACATGCTGATGAAAGTTGGCAGAGCCATCGCTGTCCAGGCAAAATGATTTCTCTCTACATTGCACAGAGATTATCAATAACAGTACTATTTGCACAGTGACAATGAGACGACGTTTAGGTATCCGTAGGTCTTACAAAGTAACATAAATATTTCATAGCACGCTACGTGGTGTATACCAGATTTTATTTGCTCAGACATGTAAGGCGTTGAATCCCATTTCATCCAGTCTTTTGTTCACTCAATAATTGCCCTCAATTTGGCTGAAAATCAGTAATGTTCATCCTCTCACAGTCACGTGGTTTCAGAAAAGGTTGGCATTCACGCTCAAAATTATTCCCATAATTTTCGTTAAATTCTTCAAATAAGCCATGGACAAGAACTAATTACAAGATTACATAAATAATTATAGAGTCATAATAGTTAGATATTATCCTACTGTTATCTTCAGGTGACATCATCCCTTTCTCTCTTCTAGATATGAACTTTCTCCTCTTGGCACGAGGTGGACTCTCTGAAACAATAAACACGACGATATTATACCTGTGGCTGTAATAATTTGTATCATTGACAATAATATTATTATAGCAAGTTTTTGTTTATAAGACGTTAAAATAATGATGATCACCAATGACAAATTAAAATTCAACTAAAGGATTTCTTACAGGTCATTATGCTTCGTGCCATATAATAAAACGCACTTTTGGAAAGCATCAAACCAAATCTATAATTACAATTGATTTACTACCGGATATGTCGTATTGCAGTTGACTCCACTTTATTAACACAAACACGAGAGTAACAAGAATTTTATGCAACTTATTTCCCTGTGATGACAACTATATAACATAATGAAATCAGATGAATATGATGAACAAATTCAGGTCAAGGTAACGAGTAGAAAACAATATTATCATACTTCTATACACGCACTGATTTACATAACAACATATATTACTAGACATAACAATATTATCATACATCTATACCCGCACTGATTTACATAACAACATATATTACTAGACACATAACAATATGGTGTTAATATCATGTCTGAGGATGATGATGATAGTAAATAACATACCGTATTGATATGATGTTAGTATCATGCCTGAGGATGGTGATGATAGTAAATAACATACCGTATTGATATGATGTTAGTATCATGCCTGAGGATGGTGATGATAGTAAATAACATACCGTATTGATATGATGTTAGTAGCATGCCTGAGGGTGATGATGATAGTAAATAACATACCGTAGTGATATGATGTTAATATCATGCCTGCGGGTGATGATAGTAAATAACGTACCGTATTGATATGATGTTTGTATCATGCCTGAGGGTGATGATAGTAAATAACGTACCGTATTGATATGATGTTAGTATCATGCCTGCGGGTGATGATAGTAAATAACGTACCGTATTCATATGATGTTAGTATCATGCCTGAGGATGGTGATGATAGTAAATAACGTACCGTATTGATATGCTGATGTGGTGGCTTGTTCTGTGTAAGACAGTCCATCTTTTGGTTTCAATGCTAGCTCCCAATTTCTCAAATCGTTTTCCCGTTGTTTTTGGTGCTCTTCCCATTGCTCTTCTCGTTGTTTTTGTTCCTCTTCCCATTGCTCTTCTCGTTGTTTTTGTTCCTCTTCTCGTTGTTTTTGGTGCTCTTCCCATTGCTCTTCTCGTTGTTTTTGTTCCTCTTCTCGTTGTTTTTGGTGCTCTTCCCATTGCTCTTCCCGTTGTTTGAATTGTTCAATTTGCTTCGTCAGTTTAGCTATTTCGGCCCATCTGTTTTGATTGACTACTTCTTGGTCTTGTATTCTGGCTTCTCGTTGTTTTTGTTCCTCTTCTCGTTGTTTTTGGTGCTCTTCCCATTGCTCTTCTCGTTGTTTTTGTTCCTCTTCTCGTTGTTTTTGGTGATCTTCCCATTGCTCTTCTCGTTGTTTTTGTTCCTCTTCCCGTTGTTTGAATTGTTCAATTTGCTTCGTCAGTTTAGCTATTTCGGCCCATCTGTTTTGATTGACTACTTCTTGGTCTTGTATTCTGGCTTCAAACAACTTCTTCGCCACTTCGTACATTTCGTTTTTATAATAGGCCCCACCATTTTTCTGTATAGTTGTCTGAAGTAATTGTAAGATTCCATCAACATCCTTCGTCTTTCCTTCTGTTGTATGTTTCCTTCCATTATTGATCGTTGCCGATTGGCAGTGTTTAAAAACATCACTAAATGTTGACAAATGAGTATGAAAGTCGCCTATAGCACCATCTTCACTTCGATCAACCAGTAGATCTTTCCCAGTAAACACCACAACGGCAAATTTATCAATCAGTTCACCGAAAGTGTTTTTAAAATATTCAAGAACTTTTATGTCCTCTTTTGAGAGTCTTAAGTCAATTCTGAATACCATAATAAATAAATGCGGCCCTGGTGATAAAATATGAATACATTTAACGATTTCCTTGGCTATTGTTTTGTTACTGTTACCCGTGTCAAACAAACCTGGTGTATCCACAACTTTTAGTAAGGTATCTACACCGTTTAACTGAAGATGTCGTTGTCCCGAACCACATTCTGATGTTACAGAGGTAATCTGTTGTTGTGATTTAAAGATATTGTGTTGTAACAGCGCATTCCCTAATGCGCTCTTACCAACCCCTGTCTTTCCTATAATAGATACTCGGATTTCTGAAAATAAAACAAACATTAGGTAATTGGAAAATGTTGTCAGTGCTAGACCAGTTTCTATCTACGATTGAAATTCCAGTCTGTTTTATAGACAAGGTATAAAAGCACATCAACTACGATGACATACTAAACATTGTTTAAAATATCAATATTACCCCAATTTTACCAACCTGTTTACAATGTATTTCACTCTAACAAAGATATTCAACGATACACAGATTCAACAACCAGTCAGATTAAGGATTTAGTCAACTACCTCTTTCTCTTCAATATATCTACATAGATTAATAAACACACAATACCTTCCATTTTATGTTCTTATTTATAGATTCCAGGACCAGTCAAACATTTATCTAGTACGGTGATCATCCCAACATTAATATGGTGATCATCCCAATATTTATCTAGTATGGTGGACGTTCCAAATGAATGTTATAATTAACTATAGTTGCATCTGTAAGATATAAAACAAGCTATGGACATAGAGAATAAGCTAAGAAAGAGATTTTCGGACAATATGGGGCTATAATCCAGGATGTTACGGCCCGATATAAACCTATATTGCAAGTTTCGACAAAATTGGATAAATAGTATGACCTATAGAGTATCCACAAACAAAATATGGGCGTATAAAAAGCACAAAATAATGGTCTTGATTTGACAAACATCACCTGTGCAGCTGTGAAAGAATTGTTACATTTGTGTATTGTTTGTTTATCCGTTTCTGGTAAATCTTCGTTTTTAACAGAGCTGTCAATATCCGTTTTAAGGTGATTCTGTTATAGAAGTTTAACTAACACTAACCCGTCGTTTATGTAGTAGAATGTTGAGCACTGTAAAAAAAATACGTTGTCTAGTATTTTACCCGCTGTAAACGGACCGGTTGTCTAGTATTTTACTCAATGTAAACGGACCGGTCGACTAGTATTTTACCTACTGTAAACGAACCGGTCGGCTAGTATTTTACCTACTGTAAACGAACCGGTTGGTTCGTATTTTACTCACTGTAAACTGGCCGGTTGGCTAGTATTTTACCTACAGTAAACGGACCTGTTGGTTCGTATTTTACTCACTGTAAACTGGCCGGTTGGCTAGTATTTTACCTACTGTAAACGGACCTGTTGGCTAGTAATTGAACCGGCTGGTTAGTATTTTACTCCGTGTAAACGAACCGGTTGGTTAGTATTTTACCCACTGTATTGGTTAACAGTATAACATGAATTAGATTTAATTAGTATTTTATCTACGGTCTTGAATAACATTTTAACATAAATTAGGTTTATTTTATAAGATTTAAGTTACCTTGTCTTTTATTCCTTTACATATAATAACAAACTATTCACCCTCTTGACAAACTACACGTCAGGTTTATTTATATCTGGAAAAACCAGGCTATTATGTATAGATGTGACTTGTTATAGTACGGGCAAACCCGTTTTCTATATTTAAAGATACAAAGCCAAATCTGCCTATTGCAGGTGGTCTTTCTTTTGGATTCGAATGTTTAGAAACTATTATTTAGACATTTATTCACATAACAAGCTTATATTCAACCTTCTAAACCATCTGATGGCAGAGATGTAAACGGACTGAAACAAGATCTATGCCACATCTTGTTCAAGTCATTTGAATGAAATTTTCAATATATTCATTTGTATGATCTATTTGAACTATTATAACGCATCTTTAACCCGTATTACTGTTGCAGCATAGTTTAGTAACATTTTCTTTATACTTGTATAATATTCTGTATTATTTTACTTTACTTTATACAGATTATATTATATATTGTGTTATACATGTATATCATTCTGTCTTTTGTATTATTTTTATTTCATTTGATACAGATTATATTATAAATTGTTTTACACTTCTTATGTTTATCTTTAGCCTGCCTAACTTCCCAGGCATCACCCTTCTGGTAAAGATCCCTACGTGGAAGCGAATTATTGAAATAAAATTGTACTATATGGTAGCCTCGAAATGACGTCTCTCTCTCTCTCTCCCTCTCTCTCATTTAGAATATGACCAGAGTGTATGTTGTATGATTATAACCACATATATACCACGTCATAATAAATAGTTTGTAAATCAGTTCATCACTCATCTCGTAGAGTCTGATTCACAAAAGCCTACCATTCATTATAAATATTTAATCAAAATATTAAAATATTAAAGCCTGTTAATGTCACCTCGGCCTCATTTAAAGTTCTAGAAGTCGCTATATCGACCTGTCTTCATATACATTCATTGTATGTAATCTATACTAATATTTGTGTAGTCATACTTCAATACCCGTGTATAAAAGAACAAGTATAATCTTATCACGTGATATACATCCTGGTGTCGCGTGAATAAATACCAACTTATGTCATACTGAACAAACATTATACTACGTATTATTATGCATCGCCCAATAACTGGAATTTTGTATTAAGACCCGTATTATGATCCCGTCATCTCACTAAAGTAGAGTTCAATACGATCCAAATTTTATCTAATTTAACACAGTGCGTAAATATGAATGTGCCAGAACACATTTCATAATTTTGAAACGGTATAATATATGGACCTTTATTTTAATGGTATGCATTGTGTTATGGACGGATTTTGACGTTAAATACCCCCCCCCCACCCCCCGCCCATCATTTAAATTTAATACAGGTTGGCGCCATTCAAATTTGATCTTTATTCAAGGTATGTATATTGTGCCAGAAAATAATGTACATTTTTGTAGCAACCAATAAACATACTTTCCAATAGTATATGAACAGATATACCTCTCCATCTCCACTCATTTAATAAAGTGTAGTACCGTGCAACCTTGACCTTTTTTCAATATAAATATGCCAGAAGATATCTGGAAAAGTTGTATGGTACGATTGAAGGGGGGGGGGGTCTTAAATGTCTAAATACGGACCATAATATGAAATTCCAGATATCACACTGAATACGACTGAACAGAAGGTTCATTTACCTTTTTTCAGAATATAAATTATTTTCTGGCATATTCACATTTACATACCTTGAACATGAAAACAGATCATATTCGAATCGAAAAGTTAAAAAAACGGGTAATTGTTTAATGTATCGCGGGATATTAGATTTCAATATATTAGTTATTACCTGACACTTTCATGTCGTTATCAGACAATAACCTAATTACTAACAATAGACTACTTTCAATTTGTTTTCTTTATTGAAGAACCGGATTAGCTATACCACACAGGTAATTTCAATGCTGTCACCACTGACTGTCACGCCCATCGAGCGATTTTCTTATGTCACAATTCTGGAGAACATAATGTAAAAAGATGACATTTCATTGTGGGCTCTCAAAGATTCGCCATTATTGTATGGTGACTTATTGTATAGCAGGTTGAATTCATCCCACCAGTAGCGTCCTCTGTCGTCATAATGTTCAGGTTAGATGAATTTGTTGACCGAGATATTAAAATACAATTAAATTTAACAAAATTACAATTTACAAATCTCATATGACAAATGTCTGATTTGTAAAACAAATGTTAATTTTCAGATACAAATGTTAATTTTCAGATACAAATGTCGAAAAAGAGCAACAAAATAAAGAAATAGTTTTGCTGCAGCTAAATCTACCTATTTCAGCTATTTAATTTAACGTCGAGTTTAGTTCATTCTATTAAAGTTTAGAGATCTAAATCTTTAAAAATATATAATTATTATTCCCCAGATATTTATTCACATGTCAAGGTAGGCCATCTTATGACTGCGATATTTAGTTTGTCACATCTTCGTATATCAATAACATTAATAACAATCAAGACTTTGTTTATTAGAATGACAATGATACTTGACAATCGGCTATTTTCAACCAACACTTCACACACTAATATAAAGTATAATTTGACTGAATTCTACAATATATCCATTTTTCGTCATCTATGTTGGAAGGATTATAGCAAAAACGACCAGCTATTTATCTAAATCGTACAGCTAATAGTGGTATGATGTTATACATATTTCAACTAATATGATGTTATACATATTTCAGCTAATAGTGGTATGAATTATCATTTTCATGACAACACAAAATTAATGACAGTTGGAACAGTTGGTCTTGCTTGTGTACTTTCGATTTCGGTCGAACTGGATTACCATCAGCCGAAAATCTTAAATATAGTTTGTCAATGCTGAATCTTGCGAGTCAAGTAAATGATCAACCGTAATATGATGTGAACAGGTGCTCTGTAAATATGAAGTTTCAACCAACTTGACAGGTGAATAATAAAAGTATGTGAACTCATCACGACACAAATTACTCATTAAATTAAATTAGAATTGTTGTGGTCCTCTAAGATAATTATAAGATAGGTAAAACCTAATACAACATAAATTAGAATAGTCGAGGCCCTCTAAGATAATTCAAATCATAATGTGTGATTAATTATAGGTATTGATAAAATTATAAATTGTAAAATATTACCTTTAATCCTGAATTACCAGGATAATTTAGTTGTTGGTACAACCAGTGATATCATCTATTACCGGAGATTGTGTATGACAAATCTACTGTGTTAATATATACCTGTTTCATATACCTGCTACTACGTCTGTCATATACCTGATTACTATACTATTCAAAAAAAGTAGGGGATATTTGATTTTGGGGGCATAATACTAAAATATGCAAATGACTACAAAAAAAGTCACTATAGAACCTAACAGAAGAAACATTTCCAGTTACATGTGACGCCCAAACGCACCAATAGCTACCGCATGGAATGCAGGTGATGCTTGGGATCATCATGGGGGTCCAACCCAAGATTTGCACGACTCTGACTTTGAATGTTACAGTCATTGTGGTATTGAATTCCAGGGTGGAAACATCAGTTTAATTGTTTTAGTGACCAGAAAACAAATTTTGATATGGGTCGGCTTACCCAAAATGAAAGGTTACGTGCCCTTGGCATGCTACAGATCGGCACAACACAGGCGGTTTTGGCGCGGACGATGAATGTTTCTCAGTCTGTCATAAGCAGGCTATGGAATGAATGAATGAAATATGGTTTTATGGCACGTCAGCTCCAACCGGGCTATATTGCGCCAAACATATGGTGAATCTGAGACAAATTAAAACAATATCACATAAATGAATTTATATATGTAAATAAAAACAAATATCACAGAAAATATATTAATTAAAAATAAATATAACAAATCTTTTACATATATAAAAATTTAAAACGATATACATGATTAAATATATACAATTAAAATTGATTATAAAAGTTTGTCTCTTTTAAAAATGTTAGCACTTTGTCATATAGCTCCGGTTGAGCAGGCTATGGTCCAGATACCGTGATACACAATCTGTACAGGACAGACCACGCTCAGGTCGACCAAGGGCGACAACTCAAGCCCAGGATCGATTTATCCGTACCTTGGCCTTGAGAAATCGTGTCATCACAGCAA